CCTATCTACCTAACAGTTCCCCTCAAGGCCCTCAAGGCCAGGGTGAACAATTTAGTAGAGACCTTGTCTCAAAATAATGAAAGAAACAGCAATGTTGCTCAGCTTCATTAACATGTGAGTGGCCCAAGGTTTAATCTTACTATACACACATACACACACATTATAATGCTGAATTCTCCACCCAGGAGGCCTTCGTGTGTGTGTGTGTGTGTGTGTGTGTGTGTGTGTGTGTATGCTCACATGGGCACACATCAGTACTAGGGCTTGAACTGAGGGTCTTGAACTTTCGCTTGGCTTTTTCTACTCACATCTAAGGCTTTACCATTTGTGTCACACTTCCAGTTCTAGCTTTCACTAGTTAATTGAAGATAAAAGTCTCCTGGATGAGTCTACCTGAGCTATCTCTGAACCATGATCCTGGATCTCTACCTCTTGAATAGCTAGTTGTAGAATCATGAGATAATTGGCATTTGCCCTTTCTGCAATTTCTGAATATTTAATGTATGTAGAAGCATGATCTGTATAACTGAGAATGTTCAGGAATGGGCCTGACTCTGTATGTCATATGAGTCTTTCCAATATAAGTGTCCATGTGTTTCCCCTTTGCTTTCTTAGGGAGAAACACTAGTTTGGGAGTTATTCCATGTTCTTCTTACTTGTATAAGTAATGAGGTGTTTGTCACTCCTTTATCTCTTAGTTGTACTTTCTGGCAAGTTGTACTAACCCACCAAAGGGCAAACCCATTGTATTTAGTTACAGAATAAATTCATTTATATGTGTTCCTAGTCTCTCAAACATCTGATTTATCAACGCTTTATCATGGGTTTTAACTAGGAGGCGAGTTGAATTAGGATTTTTTTTTGTCAGTCGTGGGGCTTGAACTCTGGGCCTGGGTGCTGTCCCTCAGCTCTTCAGCTCAAGGATAGCGCTCTACCACTTGAACTACAGCATCACTTCCGGTTTTCTGGTGGTTTATTGGAGATAAAGAGTTTCATGGACTTTCCTGCCTGGGCTGGCTTTGAACCGTGATCCTCAGATCTCAGCCTCCTGAGTAAGTAGGATTACAGGCGTGAGCCACCGGTGCCTGGCTTTAGGATGGGTTTTAAGCTAGGATGTTACGCATTGTTAGCAGGCTTACATGGATAGCTTTCTGACCTAGGAGAAGGAAGGCTCCCTTACCAAATAACATCTATTGTAGCCATAACAGATATTAGATATTTAAGGAAGCCTGGGTTCCCAATCAATTAGTAGGTTACTCTGGAAAATGAAGTTTATTTGGTGGTGAGTAGGGACTGAACCCCAGGGCCTGGAGTAGCCTAAGTAGGCACTCTATCGCTGATCTATACTCCCCGGCCCAGAAAAAAATGAAATTTAAAACATCATCCTTGTTACTGGCAAAAGATCCTGATGACGGTATCCTCATTGTTACTTAGTCACTTATTAAGGGCCAAAAGATGGGTGGGAGGTATTAAGGGAAGTTATCAAAGCTTAGAACACAGCAGGAGGATGAATTCATATCCTTTCAATGATATTTTTGGTTGAAGCCACTGTATCACACATGAGCTTTACCACTGAGCTACACCCCCAGTCTTTCCATGTCATTGTTTAACAAGCTTTCAAACCATTTTAAGTAGTAACATATGCTTGCTTACCACTTTGAGTGGCAGAGACTAACTTAAAAACAAAGTGTTACTTGAGAATAACAAGGGCTTATGTTGGAGGACATTCATGCTGTTGACAGCCCACAGGTACTTTCAAGGGGATTGGGACAAAGGGAAGCTTCTTAAGGTTGAAGATCAGTTCACAGGAGATGTTTTGAATCAAATCTCATTGGCTACAGCAATTTCCTGGCAAGCATTGGCAATTACTCCCTGATAATTCTGGGTATTGCTGAGAAGATAGTCCCACAAGAGTAGTTTATCTGGAATTTTTGAAGTTTTTGTGGTTTTCAGGGAGTCCTGGCAATAGTTCTTATCATAACAACCATGACAGGCAGGACTTCCTACCCTCCTAGCTCCCTTTTGGGGGGCCTGAAACAAGTTAACTCCATTGTGGTATTGAGGACATCTACTCTATTTACTATCTGACTATGGTCTAGACACTGTGAAGTTAAATGTCTACGTGAAGATTTCTGTTGGCAAGAAACATTATCTTAATGATTAGTTGTTAGGTAGGACTTAACTTTTGTTTCTTTTAGCACATTCATTGTTAAATCTTTTATGTCTCCATTATTCAAACTGCCTTTTGAGTTAGCTTTATCATATTACTTTTTCCATTACAAAGTTGAATGCGGTTTTGACATGTATTCACTTGGTACTTAAATGAATCATACTCCCCCCATCCCACTTGGAGGTTCTGGGAATTTTACCCATAGCCTCATGCATGCCAAATACACTATTACTATGTTGAAAATGAATTATACTACTTGTGGGTGAGGACAGGAGGGAAAAACTGGGAGTGAGGGAAGAGGTGACACTATCCAAAAATAAATGTACTCATTGCCTGACTTATGTAACTGTAACCATCTGTAACATCACTTTTATATGATAATTTTTAAAATTACAATTAAAAAAAAGAAAGCAGGGTGAGAGTTCAAAGCACTGAGATAATACCCAACACGGGAATCAGGCTTTTTACTTCTCTTCTAAGCATTTATACTTTGAGGACAAGACTTTGTAGTCCCAATGAGGTTTATGATACTGAAGCACAGAAATGAACTTAATATCAGCCATGCTAAGCTCTGAAGCACCATCCATCATTCCATGTAAGACCTCACTAAAGGCATGGAATCCCTTACCTGTATGTGTTCTTGTAGGGCAATTGACTTTCAATCAATCAATCAATTAATTAATTCCCTTCCTTTATGAGGAGGAATAAGAAGCTATATTTAAATGAAAATCTTCCTTGTGGAAATATTTCAGTATTACTTATTGAAGGTGTTTGGTATATAGCCAACCTATTTTATCTTTTCCTCTTTTAGAGATCCTTTTATCAGGAAAAATGTTTTAGTTAATTTTGTGGCACAGAAAGTAATATATATGTATAGATATATAATTTTATCCATTTTTTTTTGTTTTTTTGTGAAGTATTTTGTTGTTGTTCTGGAATAAGGACTTCAACTTAAGACCTTTGAACTCACTCTGCTTTCTTGCACACTACTGGCTTTCTACCATGTAAACTATCCCGCTAGTCTGGAAGTAGAGCTGTGGCTCAAGTGGTAGACCACTTGCCTTGAGCAAAAGGAGCTCTCAACGACAGAGCCCAGGCCTTAAGTTCAAGCCCCAGGACCAGCAAAAAGAAGGGAGAAAAAAAGTCAGTCTCAGGGATTTTCCTGTAAGAGCTGACTCCAAACCTCCATAGGATTACAGGCTTGAACTCTATGTGCCCGCTTCCTAGTTATTTTTTATTTTTATTTTTGGTTGGTCATGGAGCTTGAACCCTGGGCTTGGGCGTTGTCCCTGCGCTCTTCAGCTCAAGACGAGTACTCTACTACTTGAGCCACAGCGCCACCGCCAACCGGTCCTAGTTATTTCTTAATCCCATCAAACTGGCAATCAAAATTGACTGTCTAGCACTGTGCCAGTGGCTCACGCCAGTAACCCTAGCTACTCAGGAACCTGAGATCTCAGGATTGTGGTTCAAAGCCAGCTTGGGCAGTAAAGTCCGTGAGACTCTTATCTCCAATAAACCACTAAAAAACCAAAGTGGTGCTGTGGCTCAAGCGGTAGAGAGCTCGCTTTGACTTGAAGAGCGCAGGAACAGCGCCAAGCTCAGAGTTCAAGCCCCGTGACCGACTAAATAAATAAATAAATAATTTGACCATCTAAACTGGACGAAAAGTCTGAGAGCTTGTGTTTCTGAGTTCAAGCCTTAGTACCAGCACAAAACAAAGTAACATGGAGTAATCCTTGTTTTAAATATCATTGAATTCCTGATGTTTCATCTTCATACTGAATAGTGGCATTCCATGACCACCATGCCCCTATATATATCTATTATTTGTATCTATATCTGTATATGTCCTGGCTCTCTTCAACTGGACTATTTATTATTTAATCAAAACCTTTCCCTGCCCTATATTCAAGCTGTTCTCTGCCAATAAAACTGCCTACTTTGAGTGCATCTGTAGAAACTTACTCTCTGCAGCCTTAACCATCCATTCGGTCTTTTCTGTCTGTCCCTTTGGGAGCCGAGAATGATGGATTTATTACGTCTTTTCTTTAAAAAAAAATAAGTTTATTATGAAAATACCATACAGAGGGGTTACAGTTACATGGGCAAGATAATGAGTACAATTCTTATCAAGCATTGTTGCCTCCTCTGTTTTTCCCCTACCATCCCTTCCCTCCCACCTCCACAACTACCCCCCCCCAACCCCAACACCTTTTCTTTACCTCCTGTACTCACTCAACCCATCCCTAGTGCAGAGCCCAAAATACTAGAATTGAAAGATCTAGAGTAAGTAAGAAAAAAAAAGTCACCCATCAGTACCTGGAACACTCTACTAGGTGCTACAGGCCAAGTAGCTTCTTTAGTGCTCACAAGATGCTATGACAGGATTACAAATGGGTTGAGAATCTTGAAGAGTTTTGGACACTACAGGCCTGGGCAGAGCTGAAAAACCTTTCATCAGCATCGCCCTGTGGGAGGTGGAATCCACGCCCTTAGTCCTTTCGGGGAGACTCTAAAGCAGGGAACTCAGGTCGAGGCCTCCGATCTTCCAAAGGAGTCACGAACCCCCGAGTCCACAACGGCCCATGCGAGCACCTTTCGGGGCCGACTAGCAACCAGGGCAAACTGCTGGTGCCTAACCCCTCCCCACGTCTCCCCCGCGTGGTAGGGTGTGTGAGGGGAGGAAACTCCTCTAAAAGCCGACACCGCAGCGACTCCGGCACGCAGAGAACGGCGCGGAACCGGGAAGAGGACGCGCCAGCCCGCTCGGGCGTCTCTGATTGGCCGCCGGCGTAGCTTGGAACGCTGGGGGTGTTACGTCACATCCGCCGGGCCCGCCATCTTGTTCCCAGGGGCAGTTGGCGGAAGAGATCGCGCTCCGGGGTCGCCGGCTTTGCCTTCTTGCCCGGAGTCCTCGCAGCCCCGCATCTCGGGGTGGCGGGGCGTCTGCTGTCTACCCCGGGATCCGTTCGTCGACTTCCCCCCCGCCCCCACCCCTCCGTCTCTCTGCCTCGCCTGGCTGGGGCAGAGCCACAGCGCGGGCCCCAGCTCCTGGGGCGGCGATCCATGGAGTAGGGTCCCGGACCGTTGTCCCGACGAGCGAGCGCGACCGAGCGTGGCCCCCTCCCCCGCCCGCCCTCCCTCCCTCCCTCCTCCAGCCGCGACATGGCCAACAACAGCCCGGCGCTGACGGGCAACTCGCAGCCGCAGCAGCACCAGGCGGCGGCGGCGGCGGCCGCGGCCCAGCAGCAACAGCAGCAGTGCGGCGGCGGCGGCGGCGGCGGCGGGGCCGCCAAGCCCGCGGTGTCGGGCAAGCAGGGCAACGTGCTGCCGCTGTGGGGCAACGAGAAGACGATGAACCTCAACCCCATGATCCTGACCAACATCCTGTCGTCGCCCTACTTCAAAGTGCAGCTGTACGAGCTCAAGACCTACCACGAGGTGGTGGACGAGATCTACTTCAAGGTACGTCGCGACTGGGCCTTGGGTGGTGGTGGGGGGGCGGGGAAGGCCTGGTGGGGGGATTCCAGGTCCGGGCTCCGAGGGGGTCTGGAGGAAAACCCGGTGGAGGCGGCCTCTCCCCCCCCACCCCCCTCCCCGCTCCTCCGAGGCCTGAGGCTTTGTGGGTGTGGTGTGTGTGTAGGGGGTGGGGGTGTGTGGGGAGGAAGGGGAACCGAGGCCCGGTTGCCGGGTCGAGGAGAGGGACCCGGGGTCGGGCCGGGGGCCGCCTTGTCTTCTTTACAGATCTTTTTTAAGAACCAGGAGCTCCCCCGCCGCTATCGAGGTTTCCTCCTTTTCTCCTCCGCCTCCTGCCTAGCCCTCGGGGGGGATTCGGTTGGGGTGGGGGAGAGGGTTTTAGGAGAACGGAGAAAAAAAAGAGTAACCGAAGCCTCTCCATCCAGTTCACGGTCTTAAAGATAACATTCCTTACGATGCGGATCTCTCCCCCAAGCGCCAACTTGGTGCTTTCTATCTCTCTCACCCCTGGGCCAGAGCGTGTAGTGACTTCGGTGTTGACCTCGTGTTTGGTACTGTCCAGGACAGACAGGATAATGGTCAGTGCTGTGAGTGTGTGTGTGTGTGTGAGTGTGTGTGTGCGCGCGCACGCGCGTGCCCGCGTGTGTGTGTATGGTGTAGCGTAGAGGGCTGGGCGGTATGAGGGTGGAGAGGTGCCAGGGCAAGAGGTGTACAGAAGGCCTGGAAATTTTCCCAGCAGGAAGTGAGGAGTAAGAGGTCCCAGCCACCTGCGCATTGGGCATATTGCGAATTATCTGGGCCCTGGGCTTCTGCGGCAGGGTCGGTGCTGGCTTGGCTGTGCTGGGGAGCTCACCAGGCGCCTCCTCACTGCACTCTTGTCTCAGTTCTTGTTTCGTTAGCAGGATTGACTCAGTCTTGCAGCGAGGCTCGGAGCAGCCCAGGGTCGCAGGTAGAGGTATGCACTATTAATCATGCTCAATCGCCATAAATGCCTATTTCCCTGGTTAAATGAACGGCTACTTAGATTTTTTTGGGGGCCATTGGTTTTTGGTCGTCACAGACGAGGTTAGCTTTCTCCGCTTCCTTGCAAATTACATAATTTAAAAAATAACTTCCAGGCCTCCAAAGTTAGTTTACGTTTTAACGTATATAAATAATAGCCCAGGGCGCTTAAGCATTTTTAACTAGAACATCAAGTAGACAGTATTTTGTTTGTATTGACACTTTAAAAAATCTCGACATACCCATGTATGTCATTTTTCTGTCATCTGAATACGTGTGTTGACAAAAGGACATTCTCTTTTGCTTGCCATTTTTTCGCAGTTAATTGCTTAGGTTATGTTACTTTTTTATAGAAAACATCTGGGGGAATACAATTTAACTTTGGGTGACAAATTTGGTATTAGTTTACAAGAGTGTAGTAGGTTTAACTGTAACAAAATGTACTAGTTTTAACTTTTTAAAGGTAAGATCTTTCAACATGGATACAGCGTGGCACACAATAATTAAACATGCAGCTAACTTTGAATATGTGAGAATTGGGTTCCTGCACCTTTTGTATAGGCTGTCTTAAAAACTAGGTAAATGTTGCTGTAGTAGAAGATTCTTGTTTACAGTTTAGTTTCAAGTATTGTTTTCAAACAACTTAAGAAAGACCCAGGTTTTGTTAAGGTATTTGGATCAAATAATCATTGACATAGGTAGGCTTATAATACTTTGATCCATCTGATTTTTATCCTTATACTGTACCTACTCTTTGTCTAACTTTTAAGGAATTAAAGCATCTTTATATAGCAAATTCCAGGAAGTAAACTCTAAAAGCCAAGGAGTCGAGCAAAACAGTGTAGTGCTTATATCTAAATGCAAACTTCCCTGTCTAAGCAGTGAGGACTACAAAATGTTTTCACATATATGTGGAAATAGACTTTTAAGAATATGTACTGAAATAACTGGATTTAAGGAACAAGTTTTGTGGATTTCTTTCATATGTAAAAATGTCTTGTATGGTTTTTATAAAGATAATGCTGTTTCTTAATGCCTGTTCACACTTTATGTTCTGGGAAAACCAGATTGGTTTGCATAATTAGTCTAAAAATGAATTAAAACTAGAATGAATTTGAAGCTGGGCAATGGTGGCTCACATCTCATCCTAACTACTTAGGAGTCTGAGATTGAGGATCGTAGGTGGAAGCCAGCCCAAGCAAGAAAGTCCCTAAGACTTTCCTCCAATTAATCACTATAAAACTGGAAGTAGATCTGTGGCTCAAGTGGTAGAGTGCTAATGGTGAGCAAAAAAGCTCAGGGAAAGTGCTCAGCCCTGAGTTCAAGCCCCAGGACCAATACGAAAAAACACACACAAAAAACAACTTGATCCTAGTTAAAATTATAAAATTACAAAAAAAATTAAAAAACTAGAAATGTCTATAATTCTTTATCAAAGTAATTTGTTACAATTCTAGTGAACTTTGAAGGATTCTGGGGATCTAATCCATGCTAAGGCAAGCACACTACCTCTGAGCTACATCCTCAGTCACTACTTCTTATTGTATGATAATAGATTTAAAATCCATCAAAAAATTATACAATTCTGGTTATTTTGAAGATACTCTTCAAGTTAATGCTTAAGTTTTAGTAATACTTTTTACTTCAAATTGTAAACTGAAGTTTTGTTAAAATGTAAATCTTTAAGTGATTCTTAAGAAGTTGTGCAAATTTCCTGATTCTCACGTGTGTAGATAGGAAGGACTATCTAGTTTAATGGGATTTCTGCTCTGCAAACTTTTGAAGGTTTTGTTAAGTGCTAGTAGTTCTGTTTTCTTTCAGAGTCTATACAATTTTTTCCAAAGATTTTTACACTCTTAATGTAAATGAACAATAACGTATACAAAAATGCCAAAATAGTTTTTGGGAAACTGCTCTATTATGAATTTGAGATTACTTCACTCAGGTTTTAAAAAAGTTCAAAGTGTGAATGTTTGTTGTGTTCCTCTTTTCTATTTTCAGGTCACACATGTTGAGCCATGGGAGAAAGGAAGCAGAAAAACAGCTGGCCAGACGGGGATGTGCGGAGGGGTAAGTAGAAGTACGTGCATTTTTTCAGTTCTTCTGTCTGATAACTAAGTTTATTGGAAAACTAAGTCTCATTAAGTCAACTGAGAATTTATTTGCAGATCTTAGACATTTAAAAATGTAAATTCAGTTTTCCAGTGAATGGTCAGGAGAACTGTTTTTATACTTCACTCTTAAGAATTATGGCTTCTTAGGTTTTGATCAGATTTTGGGTGTGAGGTATCTGTTAATTGTTTTCCTTTTTAACTGTTTCCCCTAAAGGTTCGAGGTGTTGGAACAGGAGGAATTGTTTCTACAGCTTTTTGCCTGTTATACAAATTATTTACTTTGAAGTTAACTCGAAAGCAAGTGATGGGTCTTATAACACATACAGACTCTCCATATATTAGAGCCCTTGGATTTATGTATATAAGGTATGCATGTATTTATCTACAATTTTAAATTAATAGCTTCATTTTGATTCACGGCGTAATAAATGTTTCGTTTTCTAGGTATACACAGCCCCCTACAGACCTGTGGGACTGGTTTGAGTCTTTTCTTGATGATGAAGAGGTATGTCAGCAAGGGTAATAATTCGTTTTTTTTTTCTGCTTACTTTCATACTCCTATTCATTAGAGTTTTAGTGTTTTCTAGGATTTTCTATACACTTAATTCAATCACACTTGGAGTTATTGTCCTTTTGCTAAGACTTGATGGCATTAGTATTTTCATTTATTTAATATATATTGCTAATGACCAAAATTTTTCTCTCCAAATTATATCCTGTGTATTGTATTGATCCTAACTTGTACAGTTGATAGTGAGTTTTTTAAGAGGGCATGCTGCAGATTGAGGTAATAAGAGACTTACTTACACATTGCATGTTGATCCAAATGCTAGTATCCATTTGCATAGAAGTACACACTTAGGGAGATTGTTGTGACTTAGGCTGAGAATTTAGATGAGTTAGTCAAGATGACAAAGTATTTTAATTCTAGCTTTTTTTTTTTTTTTTTAATTTTGAAGTGAGAGTCTCACTGTGTTACTCAGGCTGGCCTCCAACTTGCAGTCTTTCCCTTCAGACTCCTAAATATCGAATTACATACATCACTATATCTGGCTAATTAGAACTTTTGGACTCCTAGTATACCACACATGATTTAAAAAGAATTATTTTTTAACATGTTGGTAAAGACATGGGTTTGATGCCTAGCACTGCCAAAAGCAAAAAAACAAAAGAACTTAATTACTTCAGTTTTAAAAAATTTTTAATCTAGCTTGCCACCCTGAGACTCACATGTGTTCAGAAAAGGAAGTTTACTTCAGAAAGCTGTATTTACTGAGTCAGATTTAAAGCATACTTGTGTTAATTTGTTTACATACTTAAGTCTAAAATATATCGATGTACTCAGTTATGAACTGTGTACATGTAATTTCCACTTTTTTTATGTGCTTGTACTGGTACCAGCTTAATTTAGGGCCTCTTGTCCTGCTGAGCTTCTTTGCTTACAACTGATGCTCTACTACTTGCATCATGCCTCCAGTTTGGCATTTTTCCTGGTACAGTGGGGATGGAGTCTCTGACTTTTCTGCCCTGTCTGGCTTCAAACCCCAATCCTCCAAGTCTCAGATTCTTAATAGCTATTACAGGCACAAGCCACAGGCTCTTGGCTTCTCCCCTAATAAAACAGATTTTTGTAGGCTGTATGTTGAGTCCTGTTTTAAAATCTCAAAAAGAATTTGTTGAATTATAGAATGTTCTAAATGGAAAGGTCTTATTTTCACTATTGCACACCTAAAATAGTCTCATTTAGACATTTTTATTTTTCTCTACCCTTTTTCCTTCCCCTTTTGGACTATTTACTGATCAGTTTAATAACTCAGAAGATCCAGAAAGCATTCTAGGTGATAACCATAATCATTAAAGCTTTTTTCTTCTTTAGTTGAGTGTTTTTACTAAAGCACTTCTTTCTGTCTTCAAAAAAAGCATGTCCCTTTTTATAACTGTTACATTAGGTTTTTTTCTGAATGTTTCTGATTAATCTGTTTTTTTTACAAACGCTCAGGTCCTCTATTTAAGCTAACTCATGTTTTCTTCTTTAGATATCTGCAGCGATTATATTTGGAAATACTGTATATCTGAACACTTAAATGTGTGTGAGTGCAAGCAGTTTTACCTTTAGCTCTTGTTTTCCTGTTTAGATAACAAATCTCACTTTCCTTGTGTGCTTGCACTATAGGTTTGGGACTGACAATAGCTGACTAACATGTCCTGAGCTGTGAGAGGGCATAGCAAGAAGGCCTTCATGCGGTAATGACCCTTTTCAGAGACAATGGTCATCATGGATTATGCGTTTCCAATTATTTGTTCATTTATTTATTTTCTACATAACTTTAAATTAGAAACCTCACTGCTTCATGGCAGTTGGTTTGCTATTGCTTCCAGTTTTCTTAGGGCTTCATTTTGTATTGCAGCTATTAAAAGATAGCCAAGAGTTAACTGAACTAGTTCATATACCTAGGTTACATTACCAGGTATAATGTATACAAATGTGTCCACAGACAGATATTCTTAGTAAGTATGTGGAATGGAAATTTAAGTCAGTTGTTAGTCATGTAAGGGGTTTTTCATATTAACTCAGTTCCCTTTATGCCCATGAAACTGCAGGGTTTGTTCTCGCCTGCATGTACACACTAAGCCCAAATACTTCTCTTATCATTCATTACCAGATTAGGATGCAAAAATTGAAACTTTCCTGTTAGAATCTTTTTATACTTGAGATTCCAAAGATGGTAAATTATTTTAGTATGCAGCTATATGCTGAAATCACCTTTTTTTTTGACGGTTAGGGTATCTTTTGTGTTTCATAGGACCTAGATGTGAAGGCTGGTGGAGGCTGTGTAATGACCATTGGAGAAATGCTTCGGTCTTTTCTCACAAAACTGGAGTGGTTTTCTACTTTGTTTCCAAGAATTCCTGTTCCAGTTCAGAAGAACATTGATCAGCAGATTAAAACTCGACCTAGGAAAATCAAGAAAGATGGAAAAGAAGGTGCTGAGGAAATAGACAGACATGTGGAACGCAGACGTTCAAGGTAATGTGACAAACTGTTTCGGTGGGGTTTTTTTGAAAGTATACTCTATACAAGCTGGTGGTTCTTGGTAATTAGTAGCAAGTTCTGAAGAGGCTGCGGCGGCGGGGCGGGGGGGGGGGGGGCGGGGGGAGGGGAGGGGAGGTTATGTGCCACTACTAGGACTTGAACTCAGAGTTCTTACCCTCTCCAACTTTTATAGTCACAGTTGGTATTTCAGTGCTTGGGCCACACCTTCAGTTCCATTGTTTTGTTAGTTAGATATAAAAAGCCTCTGAGATTTGTCTGCTAGGGCTGGTTTCAAACTACAATTCTCAGATCTCAGCCTCTTGAGTAGCTAAGACTATATAACCAGTGTCTGGCAGGTTTTATACTGTTCATTTTACTAGTGTGTTACTTCTTCCCCCTCCCCATAAAAAATAGTCTTTTTGTATACGCCAGTCCTGGCTTGCATGGATACTGTCTCTGAGCTTTTTTTTTTGCCTGTCCTGGGGCTTGAATTAGGGGCCTGGGTGCTGTCACTGAGCCTCTTTGTACTCAAAGCTATAGCACTGTGCCACTTGAGCTATAGTGCCACTTCTGGCTTATTTGAGTAGTTAATTGAAGATAAAGAGTCTCACAGGGATTTTTCTCTGCTTGTGCTGGCTTCCAACTGCAATCCTCAGATCTCAGCCTCCTGAGTAGTTAAGACTACAGACATGAGCCACTGTCACACTGCTCATTTTATTTCTTTATGTGGACAATCAAACCGAAGGATTTATATATGAGGAAGCACTATTCCACTGAAAACTATACTTCCAACTGAGGATTTAATTGTTCCTGATTGTATGTAAGATAGGATTGAACAGTGCTAATGGGATTTTTGCAATATGTTTGGGTAGGTTTTGAAGGAAGGGGCTTAAGGGGCATTGCATGGTGTTGGGAATTCAACCCAGTGCGTTGAGCTATGTCCCCAGCTCTTTATAATATTTCTATTGATATTTCCTTATTTCCCATTTTTTAGATCTCCAAGGAGGTCTCTGAGTCCACGGAGATCCCCAAGAAGATCAAGAAGCAGAAGTCATCATCGGGAGGGCCATGGGTCTTCTAGTTTTGACAGAGAGTTAGAAAGAGAGAAGGAACGCCAGCGGCTAGAGCGGGAAGCCAAAGAAAGAGAAAAAGAAAGGCGAAGATCCCGAAGTATTGATCGGGGGTTAGATCGCAGGCATAGCAGGAGTAGGGAAAGGCATAGGAGCCGCAGTCGGAGTCGCGATAGGAAAGGGGACAGAAGAGACAGGGATCGGGAAAGAGAGAAAGAAAATGAGAGAGGGAGGAGACGAGATCGAGACTATGATAAGGAAAGAGGTATTGATCGAGAAAAGGAGAGGGACCGGTCCAGAGAACGCTCCAAGGAACGGAGAAGTAGGGGGGAGGTGGAAGAGAAGAAACATAAAGAAGACAAAGATGATAGGCGGCATAGAGAGGACAAAAAAGATTCCAAGAAAGAAAAAAAACACAGTAGAAGTAGAAGCAGAGAGAGGAAACACCGGAGTCGGAGTCGAAGTAGAAATGCAGGGAAACGAAGCAGGAGCAGGAGCAAAGAGAGATCAAGTAAGCACAAAAATGAAAACAAAGAAAAATCAAATAAACGAAGTAGAAGTGGCAGTCAAGGAAGAACTGACAGTATTGAGAAAAAAAAACAACATAGTCCCAGCAAAGAGAAATCTAGAAAGCGTAGCAGAAGCAAAGAACGTTCCCACAAACGAGATCATGATAGTAAGGACCAGCCAGACAAGCGTCGGAGGAGCCAAAGTGTTGAACAAGAGAGCCAAGAAAAGCCACAGAAAAACAAAGATGAGACTGTGTGAAGATTTTTGTATAAGTGGATCACATTGAATCCTATCAACATTTGATTAAATCTTTTTTTTCCCCTGAGTTAAAATTGTGCAGTAGTTAAACTCTTCAAGCTCTCCATAGGCTGCATTTTCATTTCTTCATTTGGTGTAGGGAAGTGCCTTTGTAATCCCATTCATTGCATTGACATTTTCACCCACTTGTTGAGTTGATGATACATGATGCACAGAATGTTCTTGCATTTTTATTGTTTGGTTGTTGTTGTTTTTTTTTTTTTTAAGATGTACAGTCTGTACATATGTCCTGAAAATGTTTTAATTCCTTTAGGCATGGTTGCCATGTTGGTTAAATTTGTATAAGGCAATAAACTGCCGCTACTTATATTTTTTTGTAGGTGTGGGATTATGGTTGTGTACTGAAGTTAGCATGGCTGTGCTTTCATAATAGAATGCTGAAGACTTTGGGAATGGATCTTGGATGTCGTCTTCTAGGAGAGTTGTGTTTTCAGTGTACATGAAGGCGACAATTGTAGGCTTAACAATTCTTGTCCACTGTATATTATCTTGAAAGGCTCTTGTTAATATGTTGTACTTAATATTCTCCACAGTTAACTTTAGAGAGAATTTATAAGAAGTTAGTTTCTGATGCAGAAGTTTAAATTAGGCTGTGATTGGATCAGGTCCTTTTAGCATTCTACCTCAAAGGGACATTTAGTATGCCTAAAACGTATTCACTTAGTTATCCTTTTTTATTTGAAAACTACATGTAACCTTTTTTTTCCTTGATTCTTTCTCAGATTTTTAAAGTACTATATTAAAAAAAAATTAATGTCTAAAGCCTAGCATTCTTGGAGCAACCCTGTACTAATATGTAATTGGGAGAGGGTGGGGCAGATGAATAGAGAAACATATTCAAGCCTCAAGCTTCCAAAGCATTTTTATAAGTGGAAAATACTTAAATTATGAAACAGCTTGATATAGCATCCTTTTTTAAAACTCAACTTTTTTTATTGATAATGAAGATTGCTGTTTTGTTTTTAAACATAATATAGAACAAAATTAAAAGTAATGCTGTGCTGCATTATTTAAGACTATCAGCAAATTGATAGATTGTTCTTATGACCTGTATTCTGAGAACTATCATGAGTGTGGAATAAATACTGGATTAAATCCTTTATTCTGGGTGTTGGCTTTTCCCCCATTTGTTACCTTTTCTTTTTTAAAGTTCTCTAAGTGGATAAAATACTAGTAAAGTCACACTGTGTGGAGAAATAACCTTGGCTATAGATAGATAAAAGTCAATTTTAAACTAGATTCAAATCTGATATTCTTAATAGCCGGTACTTTTGTTGGAGATGTTTTGTCAGTCACTGAGGAGGGTAATCTCCTGATTAGTTAGTTCCATGTTAAAGGTGCTTATTGGTGTTAATTTTTCTTGGACTGTATGTTAGTATTTACCATCTGAACTTGAAGGAAATTTTTATAACCAGTTATTTTTAAAACAAGCCCAGAGTGATAGATTTCATTAGTGGCAGGACTAAGTGAGTGTTGCTGACAATATAGTGGTGTTTCTGTACCAACATGTATTTTAACCTAGTGGTTACGTTTGCCAACCGAAGGACACTCAGAAGCTACCTTGCAAAACTGCTACATGGAGCCAAGAGTCCTCCATAACATGGGCTAAACATTTGTACCTAATTAAATTTAAGAAGAAATTCATTAAATGAACAAATTCCTCTTTAAAAATGCTGTTTGGTTTTTTGAAGAAGATTCATGTTTGAATTGACCATCAAGTGACATATGTAGGTAGACAGAAAAGGTAAAAATCTTCATGAAAGCCAGTAAGGTGGGGAGTAGGGGTGTATTTGGATTTTTTTTGTGTGTGTTGGGGGGGGGGGGGGGGAGGTCCAGTTGTGGGACCTGAACTCTGAGCCTGGGTGCTGTCCTTCAGCTCAAGGCTAGTGCTCTACCACTTGAGCCACAGTGCCACTTCTGGCTTTTTTTTTTTTTTTTTCTGCTTATGTGGTGCTGAGGAATTGAACCCAGGGCCTCATGCATGCAAGGCAAGCACTCTACCACTGAGCTACCTTCTCAGCCTGGATTTATTTTATTTTATTTTTAAATATGTAGTCTCAGTACAGCCCTGGAAGGAAGGCCTCAATCCTGCCTTCACTTCCTAACTACTGAGGTTCTAGGCATGTACCACATACCCAGTGTAGAACAAACTTAAAAATGGGTTTCTGGTTTTTGTTTTTGCCATGCAGAGGATTGGAGCAAGGCTTACAGTAGGTAAGTGTGTTGCTTCTGAGCTCTATCCTCAGCCTCTGAAGAATCTGCATTTAGCATACCTAAATTATGCTACTCCGTTCAATACAACCCTGCTTGAAATAGTTTGGTATTTAAATGGTTTGGGCATTTAAAATACCCAAGTTGAAGCTGGACTCCAGTGGCTCACACCTATAATCCTAACTATACACATACTGAGGTCTCAGGTTCAGTGACATCCCAAGCAGGCAAATTCACAAGACCTCTCCAGTTAGCCACAAAAAGCTGGAACCAGAGGTGTGGTGTAAGTGAGCACCAGCTGTGAGTGGAAAAAGCTCAGCAACTAAAAACTCAAGGAGTGGAGTTCAGGCTCTCCAGTACTAGCACAAAAAAATGGAGTTGAAAGTGCCATCACAAGTTATGATTTTGTTTTTGGTGGCCTTGTGGCTTGAACTCAGCCTTACACTTCCTAGGCAGGCATTCTACTAAGTTACTCCTAGCCCTTATATGTGCTTTTATGTTGTCAGTCATATCTCTTACATAATCATGATCTGTGCTGTAGCATGCAGGTATAATATATTCAGGTGTGTAGGAGAGTGCTATTTCAGCTCATGGAACAAAGGATTGTGCTGTTCAAGTTGAGCAGCTGACCTAATGCATTTCATACTGCACATAAACCATGAGGTTTATCATAAGGGTTGGGAAAATTCTCATAAGCTCTGATCTGCAAGTACCTTCTCCTGGGGCTTTATTCTGTCAATTACTTAGCTAATTGGGTCAGTTTTAACACACACAATGGATGTGTGTGTGTGTGCCTGTGTATCCCATCAATTCTAACCCCCTAACAACTGAAATTAACAAAACAAATGGCACTTGCTGAGCAGATGCAAAAAGTCTTGTCCTCTCTCCCTCTTAGAGACTTTCAAGTCACCAGACTCCTAGATCCAGCAGTGCCAGCAAAAGACATTTCTTCCTGAATGGAATATCTGATCCTTATGTGGGAAATGGAGTTATACCAAACCTTGTTCAGTACAGCTATTTTTGAACGTGCCAGTTAGCTTTTAAACTTTTTTATGGGAGATAATGTGTGGGTTGTCGGGTTCCAAACCCACTTTTCATGGCCCTGCTTTGTGATTGTGGAACTCAGGTCTTCCAAACTTTCCTTTGCCATCTGAGAAAAATTTTACTATGGAAGAGGCTGCAGAGGGCATGAGCTTCTGGCTACTGTCTTGGTTCTGCCAGGTGTAGAAGCCAGTAGGATAATCCAGGTCATTCCGCAAATTTCAGTGGCATGTCACTGATGGAAGTTCTTAGCAAATTCTCCCTGCCAGCTTCCCAGAAAGCCTTGTTGCACCCCAGCAGGCAACTTCCCAGGGAGTCATAGCACTTCACTTAGTAATGGCCTAGTTTTTTGTTGACAATCCTCCTCTCCCCCATTCTCCAGCCCCCCTTCAAGATCTCAGCGCCTAGGTCAAAGCTACATTCTCTCCATCAAAGTCAGTTTTTCAAGAGAACCTCTTCTAAATTTGTGACTTGTTGGGCACTCACTATTGCTATATTTGTTCTCTTACTAATCCCCTGTTACTGATTACTAATTCTTTACGTCAGACTTTCCTTGTTGAAATTAGTGTATTCAATAGACATAGAACATAGGTCCTGAATGTGTGTTGATGCCCATCCCCTAGGAACCACCTCATTAAGTTGATGACTTCTGATGTAAAGGGCTTGCTTAGCTCAGTACATTTACTGATAATTTAAATGAATTAGACTGGCTTTCTTCAGAGGTTTAATTGAGAAATAAGAATTGAAGGATGGAGATGTGGCTCCAGTGGTAAACTTTTGCCTATCTAGCAAGCATTTTGCCTTGAATTCAAATCCCAGTACTTAAAACATAAAAACAAGCCGGGTGCCGGTGGCTCACGTCTGTAATCCTAGCTACTCAGAAGGCTGAGATCTGAGGATCACAGTTCAAAGCCAGCCTGGGCAGGAAAGTCCATGAGACTCTTATCTCCAATAAAGCACTAGAAAACCAGAAGCGGTGCTGTGGCTTAAGTGGTGGAGCGCTCACCTTGAGCTGAAGAGCGTAGGGCCCAAGCCCAGAGTTCAAGCTCCATGACCGACTAAAAAATAAAAACAAAAACAAAAAAAGTGTCAAACAGTTTAGCTGGGTGTGGGTAGTGCACACTTGTAATCTTAGCTACCTCTAGAGGCTGATCCAGAGTACTGCAGTTTGAAGCCAGTCTTAATAAGACTGGAAAAGCTAAAAGCTAAGCCACAGGTATGGTCCAAGTGCTAAGATTTGCCTAGCAAGTGAAAGTTCAGGCTACCATCAAAAATAATAAAGAATTGCCTAATTCTTAAAAGTTTGTGCCAGACTTGCATTCTCATCATGTGAGGTTTTAAGGATTGTCATAAGAACCAGGCACCAGTGGCTTATACCTGTAATCCTAGCTACTCAGGAGGTTGAGATCTGAGGATCATGATCTCAAGCCAGCCCAGGCAGGAAAGTCTGCAAGACTTATCTCCACTAAATTACAAAAAAAAGCTGTAATGTAGTTGTGGCTCAAATGTTTCAGCATTAGAAGCTCAGGGACAGCCCCCAGGCCCTGAATTCAAGCCCCAGGCTGGCACCAAAAAAGAAAAGAAAAAGGCAGTATACCCTAATGCTACCTTGCTTCCTGCTAGCCATCTAGTCATTTTCTAGTCTGGCCAATGTATATCCTTGTAATTTCTCTTTTCCTTAAGATGGCCTGAGTTTCTTTTCCTTGAAACCAGGAACCCCTCCCTGGTTTATTTTATTATAATTCTGGGGGAGGGGGCTGGGAAGGTGGCTCAGTGGTAGAGCGCTTGCCTTGCATGCATGAGGCCCTGGGCTCGATTCCTCAGCACCACATAAGCAAAAAAGAAAAAAGCCAGAAGTGGTGCTGTGGCTCAAGTGGTAGAGCGCTAGCCTTGAGCTGAAGAGCTGAGGGACAGCGCCCAGGCCCAGAGTTCAGGCCCCACGACTGGACCAAAAAAAAAAAAAAAAATTCTGGGGGAAATCTCTATCTTTCTCAATCTCTGTCTGTGTCTGTCTCTCTTCATGGGATCAAATCCAGGGCCTCATGCATACTAAGCACATATTCTACCACTGAACTAAATACTAATCCTAAATACTTTTTAATTTTTTTTTTTTCAGTTATGGGACTTGAACTCAGGGCTTAAGCGCTATCCCTCAGCTCTTCAGCTCAAGGTGAGCATTCTACCACTTGAGCTACAGCACCACTTCTGTTTTTTTTTTTTCAGGTAGTTAATTGGGGGTAAGAATCATATGGACTTTCCTGCCTGGATTGGCTTTGAACTGTGATCCTCAGATCTCAGCCTCCTGAGTAGCTAGGATTAAAATCTCCAATCTTCTTTTGGCCTCTGTATCACTGATATTTTTTTTTTTTTGAGAAGGGAGGTGTCAAATCCAGGTCCCCACACTGTCTAGGCAATTGCTCTACCATTGAGCTAAATCCCCAAGTCCTATATTGCTGGTTTATCTTTTTATTCCTCTCTTTTAAAAATTGTTATGAAGTAGTTGTACAAAGGAGTTACAGTTCCATAAGTCAGGTTATGAATACAATGTTTCTTGGTCAATGTCACTCCTTCCCTAGTTTTCCCCCATTTCCCTTCTTTGCTGGTTAACCTTAATATTCTTAGTGTTACGCTACTAGCACACTTACAATGTTGAAACAGACATGTTTGTTGTTTTGCAAAAAAAAAATCTGAAAAAATTTCAGGCAGCCAGTGATTTTAGTAATTTCAAAACAACCAGGCACTATGGTGCACAGCTATAATTGTAGCTACTTGGGCCATACTTCAAAGCCAGCCCAGGCAGGAAAGTCTGTGAGACTCTTATTTCCAATAACCCCCCTTCCCCCAAAAAGA